AGCAAACGTCTGGGCACAAGATTGCACGAACATCAACTTGCAACCAATCGCAAGGACAAGTTGTCTTTAGTCTACGGCCATGTGCAACAGCTCAACCATGAATTCGCCTTTGAGAAAGCGAGGGTGATCGGCAGAGCCAATAAGAAAATGGCCAGGCTAGTGCTGGAAAGTTGGTCTTACACTGGCACAATCAACAGAGCTATCGACCTGAACCTTGCCTACCAAGCGCTTCGCACAAGGCTCGGATCAAGTCGGCCAGAGTCAGTAGGGCAAACGAGCACGCAGGACCGAGAGCCAACGCCCACGAAAAATAGGGGTGGAGGTCGGAGGTCACGCGACCAACATCAAACACAGTTTCAACGTCGCAACCGCGAGACAAAGAACGACCCAAGCGAACAGCAACGAGTGATCAGTCCACCGGGTGACGTGGAGGAGGCCAGCAAGCATAGTGACTCGCCTGCAACTACGCTGACCGCAGAGGGGACGAAGGTCACGCCAGTCCACCAGCAGCCAACCTCCGGGACATCAAATGTGGTCGGCAACGAACTGACAGGTCAAGGTTCATACGTCCAACACCGATATAATTTAAGGCAGATGGCAAGGCGGACTAATTCAGGACCACCGGACTCAACTACCTCAAAACTCTGACGATGGAAGCGAGAAGATTTTTGAAACGTTAGTTCAAATGTAATTTGGTCCATGAACCTGCCCCCTCTTCTTCTTCCTTACCTTTTGGAGATGATGAACGCGATAACATATCTGGACCCCGAATCTTACAGCATTTAAATATGCAAATCCTTCGGATAATTTATTTAGTTGAAGTGGCCAATCGAGGTGAATGTGCGAGTTCCAGGAGGTAGTTCAGAAGAAGGAGATGTGACTACTGCAACAAGAGTTTTATTGTCCTGACGTTTCGGATTCCGTCGGGATGCTTTATAATAGGTAATGGTACAATATTCTGAGTCACTCGCAGATAGGGGTGATACATGCACAGATTGCACGGTATTTATAGTTCTTGGTGGTCATCTACGTGCGTACGGTAATTATCCGCTCTTGTAGCCACCGTCTGGGTCTTATTTGGTGCGGTGATCGCTTGACACTTCGTGTTCTACTCATTAATTGCCGCGATTTCCTTGTCCTTGTCGGATGCGGGCTTGGTAATTGCGCGATAATTATGCGCTGGATCATGAGACCGAAAAACCCACTGCCATGGCAGGAAATGGCTGAAGTCGCTTACCGAATCTGGTGCAGTTGTGGACAAAGCGAATATGTCGGAGAAACCAGAAGATTACTCCGGACGCGAATGGCCGAGCATGCAGAGGCAGGGAGGAAGAAAAATGCCAACTCCCAGTTTGCAGCTCACTCGACGGGACCCGGCCATATTTTATAGATTGACAGGGCCGAAATCCTCGCAAGAGGTGACAACCGCGTAATCCGCGAGCTGCTCGAGTCATGGTTGTCAGGCCTCTAGTCCATCAACAAGCGCAACGATTCGGCGTTTCCCTACTGTGTACTGGGACATTGCCTAAGCAAAACAATCGGTAACGTGGGAAGGGCCGCACTCATAAACAACCCTGACGAGAGTGAGCATAATTGCCGTGTAATTACCAAGCCCGCATCCGACAAGGACAAGGAAATCGTGGCAATTGATGAGTCGAACACTAAGTGTCAAGGCATCACCGGACCAATTAAGACCCAAGCGGTGGCTACAGGAGTTGATAATTACAGTATGCACGCGGATGACTGCTACGAACTATAAATACCGCGCAAGCTGTGCATGTTTCACCCCTATCTGCGCATGACTCAGAATATTGTACCATTACCTACGATGAAGGATCCCCGACGGAATCCGAAACGTCAGGACAATAAAACTCGTGTTCCAGTGGTCGCATCTCCTCCTTCTTCTACTTATTTGAAGTTGTTTTTGGGAAATTAAATTGCCTTCGGTGGATGAGGCGATGTAACATTAAATTTGTTTTTGGCGGTGCATGTTAATTATCTCCAGTGCATAAGTTCCTTAGTGTTGTCTGGTTAACAATGAATATTGTACCCAATAAATGTAAAATACAAACAATGTCACACCATTTAAACGGGTACTTATCTGTAATGAAATGATATTTACCTTTTCATTCACAGTTGAACTCAAGCAAACCACGAGGGACAATATGTATGTAAAAATGAGTCCACACGTGTGGGCGAAAATATCAGCCGTCCATCTAATTGCTGGTTCATTTTGGCGCACTCGCACACGTAGCTGTATGCCATTTACCCAAAATATTTTCTGCATAATTACAGTCATTAATGGGCTTGCCTACGCTGCATGAGCAACATATATCGCTCTCTTTCTCTCACTGGGAAAAATGCATTAACTCTAATAAAATAATGCTTTGTCTCTCACCAACTATCCTAATGCAATTGTTTTCCGCCCACTGCTTTAGAACGAAACTTGGCGGTCATTCTGAAATATACTACTAATAAGCTACAGCAGAACTTTTGAGGGATTAATTATTGCAGGATCACGTTAAAATTCCTAACTGTGAGAAAGCGCGACCGTACGCAGTCAGTGGAGCAGGAAAGCACATTCTCACACACGGCAGCCTGCCTTCCTTATGCAGCATACATACGCCAGAATGAACCAAATGAAAACGTCTGAGAGCCAATTGAAGCTAGGCATTCATTTCGCAACCCGATCAACTTCCAATCCAGCTTACTGCAAACTAACGTTACCCCTCGCAAACTTATGATTAAAACGAGCAAGCAGGAGGGGGCGTCCTTATGGCTTGATTATGCGTATGGATCCAACTGCAAGCTGCCACTGAACTTAATATCCTTTTATCTATTGCAATGCATGTGGTAGCAATTTAATCCATCATCTACTGCCAGTTGGCTTATAAAAATTTTCATGAAATATCTCACGTATACTTTTGGGTTTACCTAAAAATTTGGAATTATGCGTACAATTATGACTGGGAATTTAAATGATTAAGTTAATGTCTGGGGATAAAGAAGAGCAGTTGGCCTGTCCAAAAAATTGCCATCTTATGGTCGTGAAATCGAAGGAACTGAACTTTTTTTGTCTTGTCCTAGAGTCAAAGGAAAATTAAAATTAGAAGGTCCGAAAACGCAAAATTTATTTAAGGAAGTTTTGCCTATTAAGCTAATTAGTTAGGTAAAAAAATGCGAAGGGTGTTGTGAAAAGTATTTGAATTTTTAGTCTTTATGCTTCTAACCTCCTTCATTCGGTTTTAACTTCCCAGAACACTTACTGTATTCCCTCTGCTTTGCATTAGACCAGCTTTTGGGTTTTTAATTGTCGCGCTATCAAGAGTGCGAACGCCGAAAACTGCATTACAGCGATTAAAATGTCTGAAGTATTCCACCAACATCTAAAAACCTTTACATCTCACCGACCTAATCGAACTGCCACCATCATGTCTTAGCTAGATATTCTCATTGGCAAATGAATAAATATTTCTTTTTTAAAAAACTCAACTCTGCGTTCAGTGGAAGACGGAACGTTTGAGGTAATATAATTTGCCTACGACCCTGCAATTCGATTTTCATACAACGTTAAATTAACGCATAGTGCATTATTATATTAACGTTCTTGTCAGGAGCGGAAGCATCAGCAAAGATCAAACATAATGATGAGGTAACTGCGGAAAAAGACACGTGAAACTAATTTAATGACGATGGGTTTCGACAATACAGAAGTCGACAGGCCTTTTTTCTTGTCAGTTCTTTATGCATCAAAAATGGCAATACTCTTCCGGTTCAGCAAAGCGTTCAGTCTCTCTGATGAGGAGTAGGATTGGTTCTTTTCATTACATGACTAACTTTTCTGTTTGATTTATTCTAGACAGTGCTCATCCATGTCTTTT